CCCCAAAACCCCAAAACCCCAAAACCCCAAAACCCCAAAACCCCAAAACCCCGAATAAAACAATTAAAATTGAAATGAACAGGGCTTTTGAAGCCACAGGCAAAAGTTATGGCCATTGTCGGGATAAAAATTATCAGGCTGATCTTATAGCAGCGAATAGGAGTTTTGATTTCAGTGGTCCCTCAGATACAAAATCAGATCTCTCTTCATCACGATTTAAACATCACATAGTGATCCCTGTCTGTGGAGAGCAATTAATGCCCCATATGAGAAATAGCATGAAGTCTAAACTTGTCAGTACCAAAAGAGTGAGCGCTTATGAGGATGGAAGTATGATAAGAGTCCAAAGATCTAAGAAGAAAGCTGTTTGTAATCATTATACTCATCTTTAGCAATCTTAAAATAACTATACCATCCAGAAATCTTCTTTAATTAAGAAAACCCAGAATGTTGGAACATCTTACAAGGTGAATTCTTATACTGTTCCTTTCAAAGATGTCCTAGAAAGCAAAAAGAAGTTCTGAAACAAAATTAAAATTCCTACAATGTAAATGGACTCGATAATTCTTAGCTATTTTAAGCACAAGAGCCAGGATGGCCGGAGAAATTCAACGAAGACAACTACAAACAAAGCTATTAAGAAAGTAAGAATATCATCATTGTTGACAAGTATATTAGTTCTTACCTCAAACAAGTGCGCTGATAATGAGCATCTACAGAGAGAAAAAGTATATTGGAGTCTAATTTTACAGATATGCATCAAAGAGGTCACTTTCGACGTCTTCTCACTCCAGAGCTTCTTACGGGTCACGTAGGACATCATTTTTGAATTCCCAAAACTTCAGATCATTTCAGTACTCAGAGACACTCAACTGCAGAGAGCCATCTAATGATTCGAAATGATCAACTGTGCTAACAAGTCATGCAACATGTCCTGTATTTGACAAGGATTCTGTCACAAGTAAAATCTCTAGAATGCTAGCTAAAAGTAAGTTGGAAAATCTATAATTTTCTATCATGAATCTCTTTATTTCTATCAGCAAGGTTTCCTAAGGAAGAACTGTTGATGAGTTGTGGAAATCTGGAAAATTTCCAGATGGATGTTCTAGATTTGCCAAGAAGCCCATGTCAACACGTTGGCTAATTGGTCATGCTTGGGCAATCTTTTCGAAAAATTTCTGTAAAAAGATTATATCGAAAGCTTCAATAAGATTCCCTGAGACTTATATCTATGAAATTTGTCTCTTTCTCTAACTTATTTTCAAATAATGTATAGATCTAGATCATCGGAAGACCAAATTGTTAAAGCCCTTCCTGAAGAAGACTTCATGGATTCAGAGAAACCATCTTCATTCTCCGTTATAATTTTACAGCATATTTTTATCATAGTTGGTTCAAGCGATAAAGACTCAGATGGGGTTTTGGGGTTTTGGGGTTTTGGGGTTTTGGGG